CAGGAGGGGTTGTGGCGCCGTACCCCCCAGGGTGCAGTCGGAGGGAACTACTGTGCTATCTGCTATGGACCCTCACGGCAGCTTGCTCCCCCGCCAGCTCAAGGCCGACCTCCTGGACATTGCCACGGGGAACCAGACGCTCAACGAGACCCTGGGCTCCTTGTCGGATGCGATCGTGGGCCTGACCCACCGTCAGCTGGAGTCCCTGTCCCCCGAGGCTGTGCACAGCGCCATCGCTACCCTCAGCCAGGTGCCGGGCTGGGCCAAGAGCCAGGTGATCATCTTGTCCGCCAAGTACTTGGCCCATGAGAAGGTCAGTGGGAACGCCGAACTCTTTTTTTAAAATATTTTTATTGATTTCAGAGAGGAAGGGAGAGGGTGAGAGAGAGAGAAACATCAATGATGAGAGAGAATCATGGATTGGCTGCCTCCTGCATGCCTCCCTCTGGGCATTGAGCCCGTAACCCAGGCATGTGCTACAACAAAACCATACCTTCTGGTTCATAGGTGGACTCTCAAATGCTGAGCCTCGCCAGCCGGGCTGAACTCACTTTTTGTTCTTGTTAATCCTCACCTGAGGACATTTTTCCATTGCTTTTCAGAGAGTGGAAGAGAGGGAAAGAAGGGGAGCGAGAGTGAGATAAACATTTAGGTGAGGAGACACATTGAATGGTTGCCTCCCATATGCGCCCCCACTGAGGGTGGGGCGTGACTCTACAACCCAGGTACATGCCCTTGACTGGAAATGGAATGATCCGCCCTTTTCATGTGCAGGCCGGTGCTCTACCCACTGAGCCATCAGCCAGGCCTCTGAACTCTTCAACGCCTGGCACCCAAGGGCCAGTTCTGTGCACACGGCGGATAGTGCCGAGGACGACTCCTGCGTTCAAACCCTTGTCCTTCCGTTGGCTAGCTGCACGTTTGCTACCTTGGACAGTCGACTTAACTTCCCTTCGCCTCAGTTTCCCTATTTGTAACATAAGATGGGTGACAATCACACCTGTTCGCAGGCGGCTGCGTGGGTTACTCAGTCAGTACCTGGGAGGAGGCGGGACAGCACGTGGCCCGCGTGCGCTCCGCGGTGTGAGCCCTTGCTGTTAAGCAAAGCGTGAGATTCCCCCCAGGACTTTCTTGCCCGCTGTTGAGGCTGCAGCACACTGCTCACCCATGTCAGAGATGATGCTCTTTCATTCCAGCCTGGGCTGCACAGAGGGCACCATCCCCACGGAAGGCCCTGCCTTGCGGGATTAGGCAGTCCCAGCTCTGTCTCCTGCACGTGACCCTGGCAATAGTTGCTTGGGTGGGAAGTGGGCCTTTTGCGTGGGTGTTAGCCTCTGTGCTGGGCCCGGTGGGAAGGGCTCCAGAGACCTGAGCCCTACAGTGTGGGTCCTGCTCTGCAGTCCACAGTCAGCCCTTCCCAGGAAGCAAATGGCTCCTGAGGATCGACTGGGGCCGATCCCAATGTGACAACAGCCGCTTCAATAAGCACTGACCCTGGGCCGGGCCCTGTTCTCGGTGAGCTCATCAGTTAGTCCTCCCACCCCCCACGGGATTGATAGGGTCATAACCGATTCTCAGGTCGTTCCTGTGGGGCACAGCGTCAACGGGCATGGCCACGGCCGCAGGAAAGGCGCAGCTGGGACTGCCCAGGGCACCTGGCTTCGGAGCCTACTCGCCAGCTCCATGCTGACGGCCTCGTCGTGGCGCCAGGACCACAGCCAGCCCATCCTCACCGGCCTCCAGGCCGAGGCTGCCCAGGCACCTGTCCCTTCCAGCCTTGTGGCGACTGCCGTCCGAAGGCGTGGCAGCCCTTTCCTGCTTCGCCTGGGGACACTGGCTCACTGGCATTTCCCTGTGAGTGGGCGTCGGGAGCTGAGGGACCTGTCCTGTTCCCCCAGCTCTGGACGAGTGGCTCGTCTTCTCCTGGTGGAAGGTGGCTTCTGTCGGGAAGCTGCGCTGGAAAGGCCCTGCCTTCTTGGGAGCAGTTGGAGACTATCCGTCCTTCAGGGCAGCGGTTCTCAACCTGTGGGTCGCCACCCTTTTGGCGGTCCAACGACCCTTTCACAGGGGCCGCCTCAGACCCTCCTGCAGATCAGATATTTACATTTCAATTCATCACAGTAGCAACATTACAGTTATGAAGTAGCAACGAAAATAATGTTATGGTTGGGTCACAACATGAGGAGCTGTATTTAAAGGGCCAGAAGGCTGAGAAGCACTGCTTTAGAGCATAGCTGAGGGAAGCCACACATCCAGCCTCTTGTAGAACCAAGGAATCCGCCTGCTGACAGGGAAACCCTGCGTCTTCACTCGGAGGCGGAGGGAACATGCATCGCCTCCGAGGGTGCCAGCTCCAGCCGTAGGTCTCAGAAAGCATCAGACCCATGTCCTGAAACACGCCTTGATTATTTTAAAATGTGTGTTTATTGACTTCAGAGAGGAAGGGGGAGAGAGACATCAATGAGCGAGAATCACTGGTCGGCTGCCTCCTGCACGCCCCCTCCTGGGACTGAGCCCACAACCCGGGCCTGTGCCCTGACCGGGAATCGAACCTGGGACCCTTCAGTGCGGAGGCTGACGCTTAATCCACTGAGCCAAACCGGCTGGGGCTGAAGCATGTCTTTATGTCAGTGGAGTTCTGCCTGGAGGTAACAGCGTGGGCTTTGCTCTGCCAGCTGCGTGCGGGGTGACAGGGTGAGAGCGGGGGCTGCCTCCAGCACTGAGAGAGGGGCCGGGCTGGTCCCTGAGAGCCCGGGGCCAACCGAGGGGCAGCAGCTGGTCCGTTCCTGGTCACTGTTGCCCATGTGGGCCCATGTTTTAAAAAGCCAGAGACTCACCCGGATTTCTGTGGGAATTCCCCACATGTGAAATGTCAGCTAGTTCAGGTTAAACATGAAGCAGCCCTTGGCTGTCAGCTGTGGCGCTCGGGCCCTGCTTCAGGTACGTGTGCTGTGGCCTCAGGCAGCAGAGGACACCCCCAACCCCCACCCGCCCACGGGGCCGAGACTGCTCCGTCCTGTTCTGTTCTGACATTTACTCTCTTTCCTGAGAGGAATCCTGGAAGGTCTGGGAGGCAGCACACCCGCCACCTGGTGCCCGCCCTGCCACCCAGCGCGCAGTGGGCCTGGCCAGCGCCCCGCAGGCGAAAGGCCTGAGCACAGCCTCGCCCCTCTGGCCGGTCCCCCAGGTGCTGTCCTTCCACAGCGTCAGCCAGATGGGCGTGCTGCTGGCGGGGGGTTTTTGGCATGGACCCCAGGGCCCTGGCGCAGGTCCTGAGAAGCGCCGGCTCCCTGCACGTGTCCAGCCTGTCGCTGGCCCAGCAGCAAGGCATCCTCAGCAAGGTGAGAGGGCGCGCTCACAGCCTGTGGTTTGGGGCTGTGAGGGGCAGGGTTCGCCCAGCCTCTGGGGAGAAGCTTCTTCCGCTGCCGCCTCCCCTCCCTCCAGAGAGCCCGGCCGTGTTGTACTTCTTCCCAGACCCCACTGCTCTCCCGAGCGCAGCAGACCTGGGAGACGCTGCTTAACCGAGGCTCCTGGATAGAGTAACACGTGAAAGCTGATTTTCCAATCTCAAAGTGACCTGAAGTCCCACGTGCTCCCCAGAGCCTTCAGGCTTCAGAGTCAGCCAGTTCCTCCTCCTCGCTCGGCAGGGGCCTTCGGGGCACCCTCTGCCCTCAGACTTGGCTTTTCCAATCGCAGAATCTGTTAGAAACCAAACACGAGAGATCGGCCCCCACGTCACCACCTGGCACAGCAGAGCACTGATGGCTACAATAAGGAGCGCAGGCTCTGAGATAAGACAGACTTGGGCCTGAATCTCACTGTCAACCAATGTCTCACTAAGCCTCAGTTTTCTTGGCTGTAAAATGGGGGCAGTGATGGTTCCCAGCAAGTGGGATGGATTTTGTGCTGGGAGGCCCTTGGCACGGTGCCTGGCCTGTCCCCAAAGCTCGGCGCACCGCCCGTGCGGCTGTCAGTGAGGGGGTGTCCTCTCACTTCGCAGGTGGCTGGAGCCGGCGGCGCCCCGGGTGCCGTGGAAGTCCCGGGGGCTTTCTTTAAGGAAGTGTCTCTCTTCGATTTAAGGAGGGAACGCGGACTCAACTCCACTGTCCTACAGGAGAAGGAGCTGCGGAGGAGTCAGGTACGGTGCTGAGGCCGGACACCAGTTCCCGGGGTGTTCGAGGGGTCCCCACCCCAGCAACCCCACCGGCAAGGCCTTCCCAGCACTGGCTGGGGGCGGGGGGTCCTAGATGACCTCAGCTGTACACTAGCTGCCGGGGAGCGGGACCCCGGGAAGGGCTCGGTCCCAGAGACTGTCCCCTGCAGCTGCCAGCGCTGTCCAGCGGCTCCGGTGCTGCCGCCGCCTGCTGTAGGCGGGGCTCCGGCCACCCCTCTGTGGGTTCGGTTAATTTGCTGGAGCGGCTCCCAGAACTCAGAGCAGCGCTTTATTCACCGGGTCACTGGTTTTTAGGAAAGGATGGAGCAGCCTGCGGGGGAGAGGCGGGAGCCGAGCGTGGGGAAGGGGAGGAGCTTCCCTGCGTCTCCACCCCCCACCCCCCAGCCCTGAAGCTCTCAGAACCCTGCCCTTGGGTGTTCATGGAGGCGTCACCGCACAGGCATGATTGATGAGCTCCCTGGCCAGCGGCCATTGAGCTTCTAGTCCCTCCCTCCCTGGAGGTCAGGGTCGGCCTGAAAGCCCCACCTCCTGATCACACAGCCGCTTCCCGCCTTTGCTTGCTGGGATGCCCTGTGTCCAGGAACTAGCAGGTGGGCCTGGACAACGCGTAGGAAGGGAGTGGCGGCCCTGCTCCCTGCAGCAGGCTCTCCCTCCTGCACACCTCTGGCCTGGTGTGGGAGCCCGGCCTGCCACCCGCTCATCTCCCAGGTCTGCCACTTAGCAACTGTGTGGTCCTGGGCAAGTCACAGCCTGGAAGCCTCTGTCTTCCCATCTGTAAAATGGGTCGTGGTGCTGGGCCCACAGGGCTTCCGGGCGCTGGGCCTACCACGTGCTTGTCGCGGTGAATGCCCTCCCCCGCCCCCTCAGCTGGCATTGTTCTCTCCCCCCAGGCCTTGTTCCTGTATGAGCTGCTGTCCCAGACCAGCAGTCCGGCCGAGCTCCTGAGGTAGGGGAAGGGGGGCGCAGCTCGCCAGCTCTTTGGAGCCTGATTTCCCCGCAGGGAGAGTTGGACAGTCCCTTCTGTGGCCCATGCCAGGTGGGCTACGCCTTCTCCTTCTCCCCTTCCCTGTCTTACCCAACCACTCTTCCCCGCCCCTGTCCTGTTCTCTAGTGCAGGGCAGCTGGTCAAGGGCGTGGCGTGCTCCCACATCGACGCCATGGGCGCCGACTCCTTCCTGGCCCACTTCCAGTATTTTGAGAACAGCCTCTCCCTGCTTTCTCCACATCAGGTACTTTTCTGCTTCTGCTCCTCTCTTTCTGCCCGAGGAGCCGACCCTGCATTGTCTGGCTCCGAAGCCGGCGATATTCTGTGCAGATGATGGTGAGGGGCGCTATACTGAGACAGGCCTTCTCCAGTTTCTTTCCTTTTTTAGAAAAGTACGTTTTTATTGATTTCAGAGAGGAAGGGAGAGGGAGATGGAAACATCAATGATGAGAGAGAATCATTGATCGGCTGCCTCCTGCACACTTGCTCCTGGGAATGGAGCCCACAACCCGGGCATGTGCCCAGGAATCGAACTGTGACCTCCTGGCTCATAGGTCGACACTCAGCCCCTGAGCCACGCCGGCCGGGCTCCAGTTTCTTCCTTAGATGCTCCGAATGCCCCTGCCTTCAAAGCCGGCGTTGCCACAGGTTGGTTATCTCACACTCTGCCCGAGCCTTAAAGCACCCCTGGAGGGCGGAGCATCGCATGTTCACAGTTACGTCCCGAGACCGAAGGCCGTGCCGTCAGCTACGTGCGATCCGGCCAGGGCGGGGGCCAGGACGGACGCTGCTCCAAGGGCATTGTCCTTCTCACTTAACACTTCCTTCTCCACATGGTCACGGCCACTCTTCCACGCCTGGGCGAGACCCGCGGTGCCTGCATTGACGCGCTGAGCGCTCAGAGGAGAGCGAGAAGGTCTCATGTGACGTGCTCATCTCACACAAACAAAACACAAGGACGCAGGGACACTGTGCTGGCCATGTCTTTGGCCTTGACTGAGGTCAGGCTTCACGGGTGTTCACATACTCATCAAAGTGTACACTTTAAACGCAGTGTAGTTCTTTGCATACAATTACAGTTCAGTACGACTGTCAAAAATACAGGTTGCAGGCTTTCATTGAGAGCAGGTCTGGGCGACCCTGTGGGCTGCCTCCTCACCGCTCCCTGGTGGGAACTTCCCTCAGCAGCACGTGAGCGTCTGCCAGGCAGAGGCGGGGTGGAAGAGGTGCAGGGGAAGGGGAGAGGGGAGAGGCCAGCCGCTTGGAGGAGGCCTGATGTCTGAGCAGAGCCCCCCAAACAACTCCTCACCCAGACTCCCCTGTTCTTCAACCTTCAAATACCACTTCAGTAGAAAAGTTGTCTTTTTTCTTTATATATTTTGCTAAAAACATGTAATTATCTAATGAAAAATAGAAAGAAAGTAAAATTCCCCCTAGAACAGTGGTTCTCAGCAGGGGACCACTCTCTGGAGACACATTCGGCCGCCACACTTGAGGGAGGTGCTCCTGGCGTCCAGTGTGTGGGGGGCAGGGCTGCGGCTTCACACCCAAATGCAGACAGCAGCGCCCAGCACATGGGATCCCCCCTCCCTGTGCCAGCGCCCAGCACACGCCCCCCTCCTGTGCCAGTGCCCAGCACACGGCCCCCCTGCCCGCACCAGCACCCAGCATGTGCCCCCCATGCCAGTGCTCAGCAGGTGGCACCCACCCTGGTGCCAGCAGGGCTGCGGCTAGACTGCTCCACGGGCAACGGCAGGGAATGCTGGCTCCTGACTCTGAGGGTTGGGGTGTGAATAAAACACATTTACCTGTAACTTAAAAAGCACCAATGAGCTCATACTGTGCACACTGTTCTGTTTAACTTTATATACAACACATTGTGTATGAATAAAATAGGGCCTGGGCATCATGCATATTAATATATGTAAATCTACCTGCGGAGACAGGTAATTGTGTAGTGTTCCGTTGTACGGCTAATTTATCGAATGTACCGTCATTTACCTAACCAGTCAGTCCCCTACTGAGGGGCACGTCGATGACATCTCCCCTTTTTGCCGTTATAAACAGATCTGTGGTGAGCATTCTTAGACTTAAATTTTTGTGTCCATCTTGCTGCTGCCTCAGTTTCCTCATGCACAGACCGGGCACAGTGGGCCCCGCACCCCAGGGCGCTCTATAAACAAGATGCCTCTGTGCATGCTGAGCGCAGCGCCTGGACCGAGAGCACAGTCTTGCTTGCTCTTCCTACCACTTCACTAAATGCCGACAACTTTTTAAATCTTTCAGGTTAATTGTTTGGCGTGGAAAGCCTGGGAGGTTTCCAGGTCCCTTATGCAGCCCTTCCTCTTGGCTGCGCTCCCGTGAGTGAACGTGGGCCCCTCTCTGGCTCAGCAGTAAGATTGAGGGGACCCGCCCACCCCAAAGTGCTTCTCTCCCTCTGGGTTTGGTGAGGAGCCAGAGGGGAGTGGAGAGCGCCCTGGACGGTGACGCCCTTGAGACCAGGTGTAAATTCTGGGCCCACACAGACATTTCAGACCCTTGCTTTTTCTTGTTATTTATTTAAAAACCAAAGCCAAAGCAGCCCAGGCCCCGGGGCAGATCCGGCCGGGGCTGACCTCACCGCTGTGCCCACGCTCCCGGAGGCAGGGCTGGGGGAGCTGTGGGGCTTTGCCGGGACCTGTGGGCACTCAGGTCTGGGGGCAGTCCTACTTTCCAAATACGGTCTGGACACGGTTTCTCTCTTCCTCCTCTTGCTGTTACTGTCTTCATTCATTCAAAAAATATTTACTGAATGCTTACTATGTACTAGCTCTTAGAAAGAACTAAATTTTCCCCATAAAGACCTTATAAGCTCATAGAGGAAAATCAGGTAAGCATGAAACCAATTATAATATCAAGTTGATATTTAGTTGAAAGTGATAGAATCTGAACTCAAATCGGCTTAGGCAATAAAAGGCAATTTTGTATTTAGGCGGCTGGAACTCCCAGGGGTGGATTTCAGGCATGGCTAGATCCAGGGGCTAACATTATGTCATCTGTGTCTTAGCCCAGCTTCTCTGTCGGCTTCTCTGTCAGACAGATTCTCTCTCCGTGGTGGCCCCTGGCAGACCCAAGGCTACATCTTCCTAGTTTTCATGTTTGGGGAAAAGAAAGACGTCCTCTTCCCATTCTTCTTACTAAGACTTGGGTGTGACTCCCATGGGCCTGCATTGGGCCAGTTTGCCCTTCTTGACCCAATCGCTGGGCTTGGAAGGATGGGTGACTTGACTGGAGCTGAGAGTGAATGGGCACCGCCCCAAAGCACAAGGTCTTAGAGCAGTGGTTCTCAACCTGTGGGTCGCGACCCCTTTGGCGGTCGAACGACCCTTTCACAGGGGTCGCCTCAGACCATCCTGCAGATCAGGTATTTACATGACGATTCATCACAGTAGCAACATTACAGTTATGAAGTAGCAATGAAAAT